ATTTCAGATTCTTGAAAAGCATAGGTAGTTTTGCATGAATTGGGTTTAAATCGTCACTTCCCAACTAATACAGCTCACAATGAGTTACATAACTTCCATTCCAACTCTTTGTTACAGAGATTCCACAGAATACAGCAATGAAGGTAAAGCCAATTTGTTAGCCAAGTGTTATGCTGACGGCAGTGCAGATACCAATCATACCAAAGAATTTCTAAAGAACAAGAAGACCTTCTACACCAACCACACAACCCTTAGAGGACGAACGGGATCTTAACGCTCCCTTCACCCTCGATGAGCTGAAGAAAGCACTGTTCAGTAAGAAAGATAGCGCTACTGATGAAGATAATATCAAGTACAGCATGTTAAAGGAGTTACCAGTGGAAGCGTCTACAGTTCTACTAGAATTATTCAACAAATCATGGTATAATGGTACAATTCTAGAAAGTTGGAAAACCGCCATGGTCATTCCTCTACCAAAACCGCAGAAAGATAAAAGTCTATGCATTTCATACAGGCCTATTTCTCTGACCTCGACTCTATGTAAAACATTTAAGACGATGGTCAATAATAGTCTGGGTTGATGGTTTGCTTTTTAAACTTAATTAACTTGGCATTCGGGATCGCATGTTCAGGTGGATCCAAGACTTCTTAAGGGATCGCCAGATACAAGTGAACGTCGCCAATTCTCTCAGCGAGAAGCACTCGTTGGAGAATGGCACCCTGCAAGGCTCTGTTATTAGCCCTACCCTCTTCAGCATTATGATCAACGATCTTGCCCTGGATTATGTAAAGCATATAGAGCTCTCGGTTAGCACAGCTCTATATGCAGATGACAGTTCTATATGGACAGGTCACACTGACCTCAATAAAACAAAATGGCGTATGCAAACTGCTCTGAACCAAGTTGCTAAATGGGCAAACGACTGGGGCTTCATTATTTCGGAAGCTAAAACCGTCCGTTTGTTCTGTAGCAGAAAGAAAGATCACGACAGTGTTGACCTTAGACTGGATGGTGTGAAGATTAAGCATGAGAATTCAGTAAGGTTCCTGGGAGTACACTTTGACAAGTGTCTGACTTGGAGTATGCACATTGACTATATCTGTAACCGGTCTACACAAATCTTAAATGTTATGCGTTATGTTTCAGGTACCACATGGGGAGCAAACAGAGAAACTCTAATGATGACGTACAAGTCACTGGATCGTTCAGTTATTGATTATGGTTGTATTGCCTATGGTAAAGCAAGTGATACTCAACTGAAGAAACTCGACGTTCTATGAAAGCTATACGTATTGAGCAGCCGTAGGTACGAAGAATGAGGCGCTACTTCAGGAGGTGGGAGAGAAACCCCTCTCTCTTCGGAGGGAGGAACTATCTCTCAAATTCTGTGGGAAACTTCAGTACTTGTCCGAAAGCTGTCGAACGTATTCAAGCATCAGAAGATTTACTCGTGTCGGAAATAACCAGAAAACCGGAGTATTTCTTACGGGCAAGCGGTCACTGATCTATTGAGAGAGCATCAAGTAACGATCCTTGAACGACGCCTATCGACTACTCCGTTTTGGAAGATTACCAACCCGACAGTCAACACCCAGCTGATCCAGAGTAGTACCGCAACAGGTTACGGTTTGTGCATCCCAGCAAAAGGCATCCGCATAAGTAAAAGGATTCCCCCGCACTGTTCAGTGTTCACAGCTGCCAAAATAAGAAGAATGATCCACAACTACCAAACCAACAACGACCAGAAGATTGAATTAGTATGGGTTCCATCGCACATCTCCATTCCTGGCAATGATCAAGCAGACCGTTGTGCTAAGGAAAGTCTGAGTCTGGAGGATATCGAGCCTACAGAATACTCCTATTCGGAATTCTGCAGTATCGTATCTTCTAGGATCAACCAGAAATGGGCCGACATGCTACAGAACCTCGACACCGAAATACACCAGATTGATCCGAAGATACCAAGATTTCAAACTCAAAATTAACATTTCAAATTCAAAATTATTTTTTCAAATTCGAAATTATTTTTTTCAAATTTAAAATCAACATTCCAAATCAAAATTATTTTTTCAAATTCAATATCAAAATTTCAAATTCGAAATTAAGATTTCAAGTTCAAAATTGTTTTTTCAAATTCGAAATTCAAATTTTAAACTCAAAATTCAAATTTCAAATTCAAAATTATTTTTTCGAATTATAAATTTAAAAATACAAAAACATGTCGTATTTGAGCTTCCGTAAAAATGGCCAATTTCCTGTTTTTATTCTTAATGGTAGTAATCACAGAAAAAAATAATATTTTTTTTAATTTTCCTCTATGGCTGGTTCGCTGTCAGCTAATTGAACATTAAACTGGCATGTCGGAAACTGTCCCGCAATATAAAGTGCACATATATGATTTTACTTTTTTATCTTGCGCGTGGCTGATATCATGTCAATATTTTCCATTTATATCGTTGGTTTGAATATAGTTTGTCATTTAGATAACATACCATAAGGACAGCAGTCAATAAGATTGTATGCAATTACAAAGTATTATTTCGTAAACAAAGACATCACAAATATTCTTTAAAATAACAGACTAACTAAAAGGTACATACATGTATATTATATTATGTTACAACAAGCCATAACCAATTTTTTGAGCGTCATTTATTTGACCAATAGTATCTTAGTCTCAGACACGAGAATGTTATAGCTAAGCCAATCAGTTATAGTGTACACTGCTCGCCGTCGAAATTTGAGCCTTCAAATTCCTGTGTGTCCAGAATTATCCGCATTTGAATTTTGAAATGGCGATTTGCGAATTAAAGATACTCTGTGAGTGAAATTCCTAGTTTGAAGTATTTCTAGTACATCTCAAGACTATTTACATATATTCAACACTTAAATCAACCCCACAAAATGGCGCAACTTTAAATAATAGGGAGATATACTACTATTTAGAAATTTACAATCTTAATTCTTACAATCCCTCAGTAAGGTTTCACACTTAAATGTATGAATCTATGCTGGCATGATTAGATTAAAAAAAGATTTGTTGGTCAGTCCAATAGTTCAGTTAGTTAACGTGGGGTACATACCTAATTGTTCTGCAACTGTTGAAGTTGTTTGTTCAAACGTTATCTCCTCTGGGTTGATATCGGCGTAAGCACTACCTAAATTATAGTAACAATGGTAAAAATTATATACTTACGTGTAGCTTAGTTGGTTTGTGTATTTCTCCTGTTCTCAACAACGAATGCCCTATTAATGATGGCCAAAAACGGAAGGTTATGGGAATGATCTCTCTAATCAAGAATTTTGAACAACGGTATAAGAAAGGAATAAAAGGGTACATGTACTCAGACTCTTTCGTCTATTGTGCGTTACAACTTTGGGAATTATTTAACTATCTATGTATAGCATCAAAGGGATTGTAAATTCGAGACGAAATCATCGATCATGAACACAATTTTATAAATAATTACTATGATCAAAACAGTTTAAAACAATTTAATGATATCAAAGGTCTTCAATGTCTACGAAAGAATAATTATTTTAAGAAATTATCTAGACACTGTAACACAGATAACATGTTGACTTGAAACTTATTTTATTAGTTCATGCCCTTACGTCTTCTTTTTCAAATTCATTTTGTAGCACATTTGCTAACAAAATAAATTCGAGGTGCTATAGATATTATCCTCAAAAGAAATGGGCGTTAGAGGCAAGTAACTTCCCTCGGCGTGCTAGACGGCACTACTAGTGACACAGACCTGTGCCGTCTGATCAGCTTTGGTCAAGGGGTCTATTTGTGAATTTGATGAGTATGTGCAATATCGGTGTCGTCGGTGATAAATAAATTAAACCAACCTAACTGTGCATGATTGATTGTTTTGTCGCTTATACCACCAGCAGATCTCACTTGTGTAGTTATTGCATAAACACTGTTCCAATGTAAACCAAACAATGTTACATTTTCTGCAGTCTAAAAAAAGCAACATGTAGGTTTCATCCACTGCTTTCCAAAAGTGAGACAAATTAGCTGTTTTTGTTGTTGAGAAACTCTAATTGTCATAACACGCCATTAATGACTAATGATCTAGGAAAAATATACCATAAGAATATTCTAGAATGGAAATGAAAAGAACAATGTTGGTTACCTTTGAAAGTAAACGGTCACCGTGATGAGGTATAATGTATTTACTTAATGCTATAGATGGTTCTTTTCTCCAAGTCAGAAAGATATGTTCTATATCGTTTGATGGTGAAATATATTGTGGGAGTGTCCAATTAATCTCTACATCAGATACTTCCTGACCATCGACTATATGTTTTGGTCCAATTTCCAATGTAATATTGGACAGTTGATCGGGAGCTAAAAGACAAAATCATCTAAATTTGATGACGACAAAAGTAAATTGGAAACCGGCGTCCTTCTTATCTCTCTGTACGTACATCAATGCCGTAACAAAGGCGACAACGTTCATACGTTCTTGAACAATGTAACATTCGTGAAAATTAACATGTTAAAAGATAATGAATGTTCTTGCCATCAGTTCATTTTATATTACACTTGTTGCGAATCCAATGCAGATCAAATACAACATTAAGTCTATAAAAGGGATTTAAAAGAGATTTTCTAGCCATTGTGCGTGCCGCATTTCATATCCACGTCAACCTGTGTGGTTCAAGTATCATAATAATATGAAAAAGACGTCAAGTGATTTGCAATAAAATGAATAAATATATACCTAATTTTACGCTTCAAACTCTGGTGTATAACTGGTCTGATACTTACCACATATATCATAGTCGTGTCCTGTAGAATTCAGACAATCTAAAGTTCTAAATTTAATTTTAGTTGATGGTTTACTGCTTTTTAAAAAATCCTTATCATAAGTCTCCACTTCCACAATATATTCACTATTAAAGTCTAAATCACTAATCTCAAACTCGAACTTGGACCATTCCTACATAAACGTGGAATACATTAAAAAATCATAGTTAATGTAGTATTGGAATGATAGTTCCAAGTAAAAGAGTTGAGACATTCAGACATCAAGGCAGTCTAAACGTAGTGAATGCAAAGTTTAATGTAATTGCTTAAAGTGACAGTTTCGCCATTTTTGGGGGTTGATTTAAGTCTTGAATATGTAAATAGTCTTCAGAAGTACTTGAAATGTACGAAAATCCCATAATTCCTTCAAAAATAGTTCATACTAGGAATTTAACTTTCTATTTCTTTAAATGACGACACAGGGACAGAAAAAAAGAAGACTTCCAGCTGTAATATATTTCAGTGGGAGAAAGGCCAATGTGGGCGTTTTGAAAAGGGAAAAGAATTTGATGCCCTCAAGGTTTAACAGTAAATAAGTTCCAAATTACCTTTACATCTTGTGTCTTGTAATTGCCATGGTTTGATTTCATCCAATATAATTTAAAATAACAACCACCATCTAAAAAAAATATAGAAACGTCATTACTGGATATATTTTTACAAAATGACGAATTAGATACAATAAACGGCATTCCTTAGTTTAAAAATGATCAACAGGTAAGGATTTAAATTTCTATTGAACAGAAAACAAATACTTACGTTTACCTGGAGTCCATCCCATCAAAGCATGAACTGATGATCCTTTATAATATTGCTTTATTAATGAAATACTCTTTGGAGCATCAACTCCAGCTCTGGCTATGAAAGGGAAAAAGACAGGTAACAATTTTCATACAAGCATTGGCCTACCATGGATCATCTATAACTATTTTCAGTTGGATCGAAAGGATCAGTGAAATAAATTAACAAAAAAAAAAAGATTTGGTATGGAAATTGACTTCAGATACGTTAATATAGTGAAAGTCGTTAGGGCGATTCCAATAGACAGAGATATTTACCCTCTGGTATACTAGTCCAGTCTGTATCTTTAGCTTTATCTACAATTCCCTCAACACCAACTACTGTTATTCTAAAATTATACTCTGATGATGGTGATAATCCTGTTATTGGAACAAAACTAAAATTGGTCTGAAATAGAACAAAATTTGCTTGAGACAATTAATGGGTTATTAAAGAAGGATTTTCAGGTGGAAAATAAAACCGTACCATAAGCGTATCATGTTATTAAGAGAAACAATTGGAAATGACATTTTAGGAGAAAAGATATTTTTTCCATAATAATATATATATAAATAGTTTTATTTAAATGTGCAAAATAGCGTGTATTTAATTCAAGTGGGTTCCACAGATTTTATCTCGCCGATCGACTAGTTGCCGTTGGGCGTTTCAATGTATTTTTTTTAAATTCCGATTTCCCCCAGAAAAGTTTAATTGTACTAACTGCCAGCGATAATTCATTGGTATGCTTTATTTTAATATAGTCAGTCCCAACCTTCTTGAAAAATATTTATTCTTCAGAATACTAGTATGTAGATTTATAGATTCAGGACTTACAAAAGCAACAGTTTTCCAGGCACTTTCTCTAATTTTGTATCTGCTTTTTAAACTAACAACAAAGGCTAGAGGTATGGAAGTTGAGACGCCATTTAAACCCAGAACATTCCATCTTAAATACACCAAAGAACTGTTGTCATCTCCTAGACCGTCCGAGACATCACTCGATCTCCGGTATTTTAACATTCTATCTATCATATCTTGATCTGGTAGTAATGGTGTGTATTTGCATACAACGGTCGGTTTAGTTAAAATGACATTAGCTGCTGACACCTCATTATCTGTAAAGACGAAAGACATGTGTAAAATAGCTATTTCAGTCAACAGAAGGAGAATACTTTTTGGTATGATTTGTGATTGACAAGTCAATAATAAATGAAGGAGAACCACATAATATGCAGACAAAACACACTTTTTTAAGAAGGTCAACCATCCACAAATGCAGTGTAAAATTCAGAGTCACTTTTTATTGAATTACAGTATACTTTTCATAACATTAAGGTTTTCATGTGGTCTTTACTCTGTGACATAAATCATTAGAACTACTACGATTTAACTTGTGGTTTGATGTTTACTACTCTTTTAATGATTACAACAATATATTTTTAGCACGACAGGCTTAACTATCAAGATATAATAGCATGGAATTATCTTTTGAAATGTTAGATGTTCTGATGAAAGTGCACGTTTAACATTTAATTTAATTTTCAAGAATTATTTAATACAGGTACCGATGTGCGTGCATGGAATCATTTGATGAATTTGAAAAGAACAAAGGAATACCGGGCTAATGTAAAAGTTAAAAGCTTTTCTTTGTTTGATTTTATGCCATGCAGGCTGTTCAACGGAAACTAATTCCATTGACATTAACACAAGGATTGTGTCAAACTATTCTGGCCTGAAAGATCGAAATCATGGTCTGTTTTCCAGGAAAGTTTTTGCAGGTTGACCTCAACAGACAGATCTGATTGTTGTACTTTAAAGAAAGTGTTTGTTTTCGTTGTAGCAATCGTGGTTATTTAAAGATAGCCCATAGCTCTCGTGGTCTGACTTAGAAGGAACGTTATCGAGGTCTGCCGTTTCAAGACAGCTCTGGTTGGTTGACTCTTAAAGATAGCTCCAGTAGTCTGACCTTTTATGACAGCTCTCTTAGTGTGATGTTTTATGATAGCTCTTAAGGACTGGTCTTTAAAAAAAAGCTTTTTTGGTTTGAACTTTATTTATAGTTGTAGAGATCAGAATGTAGTCAACTCTCTAGGTGGAAAAGATAGAACCGTTGTATTATAGAACACCTCTAATTTCTAGTCGACAGAAATTATGGCATTTTGGATCCTTTTTGTCACTTTCTCACTAACTGTGACAAAACAACGTTATTGGAATTCGTTTTCATGATTGATTCTTTCCGTCTCAAAAAATGGTTTTTTAAATATTTTGCACCCAATTTCTTCTTTCACACTCTTGAAAGGAAATAAATAAACATATACAATAATCTACGATTCAGTTTTGTATTGTTGTTTTTATGTCAAAAATGTAAACTGTATGAATGCAGATATATTTTTGTTTTCACTTTGTTTTGTTTTTTATTTTGTCGCTAATTGAAACGTGACAACAATGAACGAGAGCACCATAAAAAATCGTCGAATAAATTATTTTGACCTTTTGTAACAGAATAAATGGTTGAAATAATCTTAACACAATCTAATAATTGTATTAAATTATATGTTAGCAAAACATGAACATTACATGATTGTATAACAAAACTTATACATGAATCTCCACTCAAGTTATTTTTTTCACAATTCTGTATTAAATTGATTTCTACGCCTTCAGTCTTATGAACATGCTTTATAACAGGAATCATTTAAAATTTCAGTGAATAACATTGCCGTATAATAAATGTAGAACTGGTAATTGCAACAGTTTTGTTTTTGTTTTTAGTTTGAAAAAATAAGAATAGTGTCATTTTTCTGTTCCAGTTAAGTGTATTTACTAGCTAGTTATGCACAACACTTTCGTTGGTTGGTTGGCAGTTAACTTCCTTTTGCAGATACTGATATTGTAGACTAGGTAGTTGATGGTAGTCGTAGTAGGTGATAGTTGGATTGTATCAAATTGATAGATTATCTGTTGTTGGTTTGGTTGTTGAGAATTCCTAAGATCTAGTTCGGTCGAATGAAATAGCGGTGAAACTAAAACTAGACCCTAGATGGTTTGGCGTGAGTTACTATGACTTGGCTTGGTTTGGTTAGATTATTTGTAATGCATTCGTGTAGGAAATGCCTGTTTATAATCCTTACTGACATCTGACATAACTGGCATGATGAGAATCGGCTTAACATGTCAAAGAAAATAGGAAATGATAGTTTAGCATATTACGTTTCTTTGACTGATTAGGCTATTAAACATTCCAGTCTCATTTTTGGGTTAAGTTAGGATCAAGTTTTCTGAATTATGTTTTTCTAATTTCCTATAATCATTGCACTTTTCAGAATTTAATCCGCCGTCTATTTCTCCAAAGCAATTGTACCATGAATGTGTATTTTGACAGTGCCGTCGTTTCATACATACGATACCTCTGAACGACTACAATCTGTATGAGCGATAACCACCGTTCTAACATACATTTTATCTTCTGACAATAAACTCAGACTGTGTAGGCGATTAATGCGATTAGTAAATCTTTATTTTATTTGTGGATTGTAACCTTTGTATTCTATTTGAGTTAAGTTAAATATCTTACAATTATGGAAATCAATTTTTAAATGCCCAAGGCAAGATAAATTGATAATTAGTTAGACTAGCCGGATATAGTGAGTGTCTAGTTTCATAGAGACATTCACTCCAGGAATTGAAGAGAGCTATTTTAAGAAATGGCCAGGAATTAATTCCAGCTGTGTACGGTGTTAAGTATTCCAATATACACTTGAAAGATGTGATATAAAATTATCGAAACTTCGATAACAGCATTTTCAGACTAGATATATGGTACCATTAGAATGTCCACTTGTGATGTGTACATGCAACAAATACATGTATAGAATTTCCGAATTTGTTTAATAAGAGGCCGAGTATCAGACGTGAGAACCTTGTGAAAAAAAACATTAATTAAACGACACCTCGCCAATACTCTGAAGACTTATGACCTACTTGAAATATACAATTTTTGAAATAACGAGTTTTTGTTTTAAAACAGAAAAGAATGAGTCGCAAGGCAAAACATTGATAATATGATTCAATGCAACATATTTTCGTAACAAAAAACATATTTAACGTGTCGATGAAACCATACGTGATCTACTGAAAAATACTGATTATTTGATACAACTTACGGTTAACTATATTCAACGGAGAGTCAATAGACCTCAAAGGATAGTCATTATACCTTATGGCATTATCTTCTAGATTATTTTAATGGTCAACATATACTAGCCTAATGATTGACAAGTTTCAACTTATAGACAACTAGCCTTAATAGATGGTCAATTGGCGTCAGCTAATGGTCATATAGTGATTATTGAATAGAAATCTGATGATGGACAAATTTATTTATAATCAAATATTCTGAAGATAGCTTGCGAGGCAAGGTAACATACGCCCACTGGCAGCTGTCGGAAATGATAAAACAGTCCTTAGTGACTAAAGTACGAATTTTCTCATATTGAAGAAATTTTATTAGTTTGAATTCAATTACATATATATATATATATATATATATGCCAGTTATTTATGAGTAATTCTAAAAAAAATTTAAAATCATTATCAATAACCCAAATACAACAAACAATTAAATCACACAGCTCTAATTAAAGGCAAAAAACAACTTTTGACCCGTGTTTACTATTTCTAACAAATTTCGACGCGTTTTAACAATGTCAATGGTAATAACTCAAAAACCGTTCATCGAAAATGCGTCAAATTAGATCTTGTCCGAGATCTTATCAATTCCAATGATCACACCAAGTTTCATCAAAATTGGTTGAAAACTGTAGTTTCTTTTGTGCTCACGAACAAATATTGACGCGTTTTTATAAAGTCAAGGGCAATTAATCAAAAACATTTCATCGAAAATGCGTCAAGTTAGAACTTGTCCGAGATCTTATCAATTCCAGTGATCACACCAAGTTTCATCAGAATCGGTTGAAAACTGTGGCGTCAATCCTGCTCACAAACTATTTTTAACAAATTTCGATGCGTCTTAACAAAGTCAAGGACAATAACTCAAAAACCGTTCATCGAAAATGAGTCAAGTTAGAACTTGTCCGAGATCTTATCAATTCCAATGATCACACCAAGTTTCACCAAAATCAGTTGAAAAATGTAGCGTCAATCCTGCTCACAAACTATTTCTAACAAATTTCGACGCGTTTTAACAATGTCAAGGGAAATAACTCAAAAACCGTTCATCGAAAATGCGTCAAGTTAGAACTTGTCCGAGATCGTATCAATTCCAATGATCACACCAAGTTTCATCAGAATCGGTTGAAAACTGTAGCTTCAATCCTGCTCACGAACTATAGTTAACAAATTTCGACGCGTTTTAACAAAGTCAAGGGCAATATCTCAAAAACCGTCGAAAATATGTCAAATTCGAACTTGACCGAGATCATATCAACTGTAGTCTCTATAGTGCTCACAAGAAATGTTGACCGACGGACAGGGGCGACGACAATATACGACCACATATTCATGTGGGCTTATAAAAATGAATGTAATTAAACCAGTCTGAAATTGCATTATATATACCAATGTACTTGGCTATTCCCCTAATATAACGTTGGGAACTTGTCGAAGAATGATGGTTATGCAGGTTGACGAACAGGGTTAAGAGATAGTTTAAACAGTCTGATGAAGTCTTACTGTTTAAAGATGACTGCAACGTTAAGTCAAATTAGCTGCGATTACTCGTCTGAGCACCATATTATTTATATTTCTTTTCCATCATGAGACACGTTCACCATACTTATCGTAATTTTGAGACCTGGCTTCCGCTAAGTCCCAGTTTGTTTTAGAAATGTAATTTTTTTTACTCACTTCACACAGCTTAGGTTGCAGTAGTTGCAGCAACTATTCAACTTTCCTAGACCTTCTATAATGGCAAAGTTACTTTTGCAAAACCGAAAGTATAAAGTAGAAAATCGGCTCTTAAATTCACATTTGTGGCATCTTATAATATCTAATGTGATAGCCTTTTAAAACTTTCAAAATTCGTGGCACTCTTTTGACAAAATTTAGCATTTTTTGGTATTTTTCCCCAACTTACCAGACTTAAAATGTTACCAAAATGAATCCGTCAAACTTTT